AATTTTATATGAAAAAATATCTTTAAAATTTAGTTTACCGATAAAATTTCTTTGTAAATAAAAATTCTTATATTACCTTGAGAAAAATTTCTATCGAACATATTTGAGAAGTGTTTATAAACAATTTTAATCATAAATAGATAAAAAAAGTAGTAGATAAATAAGTTATACTTTGTGGATCATTCAAAATATGTGACCAAAAAGTGATTTTAATGTTTATAAACAGTTTAAAGATGAGCCAAACATAGGCTCAATATGGGAAATGGATTTTTAATTAAAAAGTGAATATTTCAATAAATTCAGTTTTTTGAAAAGAATTTCAACAGTAATTAAAATATAATCTTAAATATTATAGAAGAAAAAATCATTTAAAAATTAACGAACTGTATAATATTATATAAAATATTAAAATATAATATTAAATCTTCTTGTTGATTTTTTTAAAATTAATTTTACATGGTTATTCTTTAAAAGATTCTATTGAAGATGGTTGACATAATGTCCAGGGGCGGATGTGAGGGGGGACTAAGCTGGGCTATAGTCCCCCCAAAGCCCAAGAATTTATTAGTTTTTTAAGGCATTTTTCCTTTTTCCATTTTTTTTTTGTGTAAATTTTTTTCTCGTATTAGCTCGATTTGAAATTTTATAGCCCGATCTTGATTTCAATTCTGAATCCGTCCTCGATAAAGTCACATAACGTTCTATCATTAAACTATTTAAAACATAGTTATTTTTCTATCACATCATTTTTCATCACATAAGAATCTATCACAACTTCTATCACCATTCATATGGCAAAGCAGCAAAATCGTAGATCTTATTCATAGCAAGATGGTTTTGCACATTGGAAAAGAAAATATGCAAGCTGGTCCCATTTTTAGAGGAGGAGAGAGGCGTAGGGTCCCTAGGGACTTTTAGACTACGGTTTTAATTAGAATTTAATTAGTTGTAAAAATTGGACCACTTTATTATTATTATTTTTTTTTTATATCCAGGTATCCCAACTTACACCAAACTAAATTCTGGATCTCCAAGACTCATGCCCCTAGTACCTTGGAGGGGGTAAATCGAGGGTTATGCCCCAACTGGATCACAAGTTCCCCCCATTGACTGTATACTTCTACGCACAAGAGACTCTATTCCACAGTGATTGTTCCATACCAAATTTTTGGCCACAGGTTCCCACCAGGAATCGCACTCTCCACCCTGCCGTTGGAAGCAAGCTAATGTTGATTGGACCACTTTTTCTTACGACTTGTACATGGTCTTGAGTTAATTTCTACTACGAAAATTTGGCATCAAATTCCCATGTCTTTTTCTTTCACTTCCTCCCAAAATTCATACTCGTAATGAATGAAATTTATATTAGGAAAATAAATCGGTCCCTACAATACAATTAGAAAATTCCGATACGAGAAAGCCGGTGTACAGTTTCAGTTCAATTTTGAGGATATATACATAAATGTAAGTATGCATATATAAATGTCTTTTAATCTTTTATTTTGGAGAAGAATTAATATAATTACACTTCTTAACTCAAACTTGCAATTGATTTTACATTCAAACTAGACTTTTGCTATTCTGCAAAAGTATTTAAAGAGAGTTAAATTCACCGATGACCAGTACTTACTGTCGTTATAACCACTCAATTTAATTTTATTTCATCATGACCATCCAACTTTATAATTAGTATCACCGTGGCCACCATATTTATATATATATAAACTTATTTTTTTTAAAAAAATTTAAAAAATAAAATAATTACTTATTTAAAAAAAAGTTACTTTGAAAATTAAAATAAAATAAAAAATTAGTTTTTTTTAAAGTTCCTTCAAAAAATAAAATAAAATAAAAAACTTATTTAAAAAATATTTTTAAAATAAAAAACTTTTAGTATTTTAAAATTTATTTTTTATATATATTGCAATATTGTCATTTTTTCCCCGGGTTAAATCCACTAATAGCTATCCAACTTTATACTTAGTATTGTCATGACTAACTAATTTGATTTTGTTTCACCGTAACTGTCAAACTTTATATTTAGTGTTACCAAGATCCCTCTATTTGATTTTATTTCACCACGACCACACAATTTCATATAACATTTTATCATGACCACCCAACTTCTTTTCACCATTTTGCTAATTTTAAAACGGGGTAAAACGGTAATTTTGCATTATATATAAAAATAAATTTAAAGAAATTACTTTTAAAAAAATAAAATAAAATAAAAACATTTTAAATAAAGTTACTTAGAAAAATAAAATAAAATAAATTATTTAGAAAAAAGTTCCTTCGAAAAAAAGTTATTTAGAAAAATAAAATATTTTTAAAATTAAAAAAAAAACTATTTTTGAAATTTATTTTATGTATATAATGCAAAGTTATCATTATTACCCCTTTTAAAATTAGTAAAAAGAGTAAAAAAAAAAAAAAAAAAAAAAAAAAGAAAGAAAGAAAGAAAAAAAAAAAAGTAAAGAATTTTTAATTACACCTTTTAAAAATAGAAAAAAAAAAAAAAAAAAAAAAAAAAAAAGAAAGAAAGAAAGAAAAAAAGTTGGGTGACTATAGTAAAATGTTATATGAAATTGGGTGGCCATGATGAAATAAAATTAAATTTGGTGGCTAGTGACATTAAGTATATAGTTGGGTGGTCATGCCGAAATAAAATCAATTTGAATGGCCATGGTGATATTAAATATAAAATTGAGCGACCATTGGTGAATTTAACCTTTTTTTACCCTTTTTAAAATTAACGAAAAGAGTAAAAAAAGTTGGGTGGATATTGTGAAATATTATATAAAATTGGGTTGCCATAATGATACTAAGTATATAGTTGGATGGTCATGTTAAAATAAAATTATATGGAATGATCATGATGACATTAAGTATAAAATTATTGGCCATTGATGAATTTAACACTATTCCAAAAAAAAAAAAAAATTGAATCCCAATCTTGAAGGCCTCCACCGTCCCGCCTCTAGAGCTTCGTGAGAGAAGTAAATCGCGAGATGTGTCACAATAGGCCAGAGAACAAGAGCTGCCGGTACATTGCGCCTATAAGGAGTCAAATTCCACGTCTCAGGAATCGAACCCCTACACTGTGCCCGTCAGCAAGACATGAAATAACCTCACTCTTATCTTTTGCACCACTGGACTATACTCCGGAGGCATCTTTTCAATCATAACTTCATATTAGAGCGTGTCCTTCATTTAGACAGTTAATTGTCAATAATTTAGATATCAATTAAGTGGTATAACATTTTAATAAATCTCTTAAGTGGTTCAATTACTCAAGTTCTCTTGGTTCCTGTTTGTCTTCATTCAAAATAAAATTCTTTAATTCTCATACTCATTTTATCCATACGTTTATACAATAAAATATTTTATATTTAAATCTAATTTTTTCCCTACTTTTTAATCTCAAATTATCCAAAAAAAATCAGTATATCAATTTTCTCAATAACGATAATCGAATAGGGGCTTAGTTAATACTTAAAGTGTTGATAGTCAACAACTTAGATGAATAACATTATTCTTTGGATAATGTGCAAGCTATTTGACATATGATGACGATGTTGAACGTATACATTTATAGAAGTAGGAGTGAACATAGTTTGATTTAATTTTTTTTAAAACTATTTTCAAATCAAAATATTTTTTGCAGTTTGATTTTATTGCATACCAAATTTTTACCGGCATAAATATCTTTCAAACAAATGAAAAACTAAATATATTAGTTTGTCTCAACACAAGATTAAATCAATAAATTAACATAAAGTTCAAGTAGTTTTAAATTGTCAAAATCTAAATCTAAATCAAACCATGTTGGAAAATTTTCAAAAGAAATATCACATTGGACATATAGGGATGAATCGAAGGATAATGAAAGAGTTAATGATTGCGCAGGCGAGGACAAAAATTGTGAGGCTAATGGAGGCCCAAACATGCTTGTGGTGGTACCTGGCACAATAAGCGGGTGTTCTTGCTTGCTTGTTAGGCGATCATCCAATAGCTTGGAATGACTATCTAGGGTCTTGGGACAATTGTCCAATAGTAAAAGCAAGGTTGCGCCCTGTTCTATATAGAACAGGTGCTTTGGCACCGATTAGGGTTGACAAAACTTTTGAATCGAACTGGATCCAATCTGATCCAAATTGAGCTGAATTCAACAATTTTTCTTAAATTAAATATTTGAACGGGTATCTGAATCCAAAACCAACGAATTTGGTTCGACTCTCGATTCTAGATCAAGAATTGAAAAATCGAATAAGATCTGAATCTCTCTAAATTTTCTAATTTATTTAGTTTAAATAAGAAATTATTTTATTTTTTCTAAATAAATTGCTAACTAATTAATTTAAGTAGGATTGCGGGCTCATCAATTTGGAAACAAATGGCTAAAAATATAAATTATAATATTTTTCTTCTGTTTGAAAATATTAAAAAGTCTTGGAGGGTTCTAATTAGTTTTTAATTTGTAGGAGTATGAAATAATTTAGGACACGACTTGATTTCAAGGAAGTTTATTTTGTACGTATTTATGTATAGGAAATATTTCACTGTTGTCTCAATCTGTTGTTGAAATTTTAAGTTGGTCCACAACTTATGAAAGGAGGTTTTTAATTGCTCTTTCCTTTTATTTTGTTACATTTACCTATTTTACAATCAAAACATTGTCACGTGTAGGTCGTGTCAAGACTTGTTACAACTTTAGACAGGAGCTCTACTGGAAGGCAAGGTGCAAAGATGGGAAACGACTTACTTGATACTGGTCAGTTTGGGGCACAACCTGTCTGCAATTTGAGGGGTCAAGGTGTAGACTTCAGGATTTAGTCACTGTAAGGTGGATATCTGGATATAAAAAAAAAAAAAAAAAGACTTGTTACAACTTTAAAGGATTTCATTCGATGGGACTATTCGTGCACCTATTTTGAAAGGTTGAGGAATTTCTTACTCTTCGAAGGTTTGAACTAACATACAATTTGGGCAATACAATGAGGACATAGCATATATGCTCACACATACTGGTGGATTGACTTGGAAGAGAGAGAGGGCAGAGGGGAGAGGGGAGAGGGGAGAGAAAGAAAGTAACAAAACACCTGTATCATCTTCTTCAACATACCTGTGTCTTCCTAGGTTGGGTTTCATGGAAACATAGTCCAATCTTGTCTCTCTCTATCTATATATGTATATCACTATCTCTATATATCTCTCTCGTTTAAATTACACATGATACATAACACTTTCTCACGGAGAAAGGAAGCAGTTTAAGAAGAAAACATTTGATTTTCAAACATATATAAAGATAAATTTTTCTTGATAATTTTCTTCGGCTTATAAGGTATTTTTCACTTTTCTTTAGAAGAGATTCTCTCTCATATGGACGAGATCCACCACTTAACAGCAGGCATGGGAATGATAGGGTTTCCAGGGCAGGCCGGAAACCACCATCACCAAGGCGGTGCATCATCATCTAAGGTGGCGATCGGGGAGCTGACAACAAATAAATTCTATCAACATGGGCATGATTTAACAAATGATACCTTGATTGTTTCTCCAGACTGGAATCTAGATCATGATCCATCTACGAGGTGTGTTTTCCCTTGTGAAGGAAATGAAAGGCCAAGTCAAGGCCTTTCACTGTCTCTCAGTTCATCTAATCCTTGTACCATAGGCTTACAGTCTTGTGAACTGAGACAACAAGAGGGTTTAAGGTTTAGTCCTTCAAGTTCCAGAGATGGGTTCTTTGGTAAGTCCCTAAAATTTTCAGCGCGTTAAAAACCCTTATAGCATGGTTGGTAGATTGGACGTGACAGTTTAAAGAAGAAAAAGAGTTAAAATCTTGTTCACTATGGTGTCTAATCCCATCGCAATCTGGTTTCTATTTTGTGATCATTTTTTATTTTCGTTCGAAAATGGTCAACCCACTTTATGTTTGAAACCACAAGATTGATTTATGTTTTCTTTATAATAATTGATGTAGATCTTCAAAATCAAGGTCACATTCTGATAAGGAACTCTAAGTACTTGAATCCTGCTCAGGAGCTTCTCAATGAGTTCTGCAATCCTGGGACGAAGATAACTGATCATGATCATAAATCAAAGCTGAAGATTAATCATAGTGCCAGTGATCAACGGCAAGATGAGAATGTGATAAAGAAGCAATCTTTACACTTCATAGACCTGCTGGAACTGCAGAAAAGAAAGACAAAGCTGATTCAAATGATAGAAGAGGTATATTTTTTGGATTTCATACAATACACTTCTATATTTTTAGAAGTTGTTATAAACGAGTAAGAAACTCAAATAAGAACTGTGAGTAGTTTGCGTCGAGTACTGTGTCCCTAAACTCAATCTGAATTTGTGGTGATTAATTAGCTGGGGGTTTGAGACTTGAAATCTTGAACTTAATGGGTGGCTGGGGGCTCTTCCTTTAATGCTTAAATGGTGACATTTCAGCGGTTCCATTAAATTTCAGCACCCTCCAATCTTTTTCACTTTCTTGCTTCTTAGTAAGTAATTTTTCTACTCCAGCTTGTGTACACCCACAAGCCAGAAAAGGTACAAATTTTGCCATGTTTTACAACTCCAGCTTATGATCTGTCACTCTAACTTCAGCCAAGGAAAGGGACATACTTTGCCATTTATTGTTACCATTGTACACTTTTGTTCATGTTGTTAAGTTGTTGGACTCCGTGGAGCTTAATTGACAATGTAAACTTATGTTCATTATCGACCTAATCCATATTTTTCTATTCAAGATTTTTAGAGGGTCATTTTATGTGAGGTACATTGCTTGTGTGTTTCTAATTTCGTTTTGCTTGGGCCGGCTTAGGATCAGCCCTTGTTTGGTGGAAATTAAAATCAAATTTTTAGTAAATTTTCATAAAAGTTGATGAGATATATAATTGAAAAGTCGTGAGTTCCATAAATTGTGTGGGTAAAATTAGATATTTACTTTAATTTAGATTAAAATTTGAATTTTTATTTCTACAAAATGAGGTCTTAGTCTCGTAATTTAGATTAGGACATAATCCCTTGAGCAACTTTTGTTTTTGTTGTTATAGGTTGATAAAAGGTACAAGCACTATTGTCATCAAATGAAGGGTGTGATATCATCATTTGAAGAAGTAGCTGGCGCTGAAGCGGCAGCAATGTATTCTGCTCTGGCTTCCAAAGCTATGTCTAGGCATTTTAGGTGCCTGAGAGATGGAATTATAAACCAAATCAAGGCCACCAAGAAGGAAATGGAGGACAAGAGCGCAGCTGATGCACCAGGTACAAATAGAGGAGACACACCAAGTCTCAGGATTCTTGATCAAACTCTAAGGAAACGGAAGGCGATCCGACAGATGAACTTGATGGAAAGCCATGCATGGAGACCCCAGCGTGGCTTGCCGGAAAGATCAGTTTCAGTTCTTCGGGCCTGGCTCTTCGAGCACTTCCTCAACCCGTATAATCGCTCACCTTTCTCTTATACTGCTTATCATAGAACCACCTCATATAAAAGTTTAGATATCGGAGAAAGATCACACATGTAGGACAAATTTTTTTTTTGTCAAACTGAACAAGTAATGTTTCACACACGGGAGTGACAATAAGACTTGAATCGATAAACTTCTGGTGTTATGATCAAACCATCTCATCTGAAAAACAAACTTGTTAATTTGAAAATTGATGTTTTCTCCAAATAAAAAAGAAACATCCCACTTGCTGATTTAATACTGTTCTTACATAATGTCTTAATCATTAGTTTGCAGGGAAAAAATGAAAAAAAGGGGGAAAAAAATAAAAATCCAACGTTTTGTTACTTTCTCCTTACCATCATTGAGATTCCAGATTATTATAATCAAAATTTAATTTTTCCTACCATTTTTGCTTTTGTTAACTAGATTTTTTGGCCCTTTTCGTTATAGTGACTAATGAACCAATATAAATTTGTATATATGCTTTGCTTTGCAGGTATCCAAGCGACGTGGATAAACATATTTTAGCCCACCAAACTGGTCTCTCCAGAAGCCAGGAAAGTCTTTTTCTTCCAATTATTAATTATTAAATGAAACCATGAATTTATTTATATCATCAAGGAGTAAATCTACTTAAAAAACATCTCGTAGATTTTCTATGAACTATATTAAGATGTTGTTTTCTTGTCACAAATTCTTAGTCCCTGTTTGATTCCAAATTGAAAATTATATTTTTTTAATTCATTTTAACCATACATTTTAAGAGATTCATAATTTTTATTAACTTTTAATTATATAATTCATCAATTTTCATCAAAATATATTATAAATATGATTTTTAGTCAACCAAATTGGGGCTTATAAAATGATGTCAATACTTGATATGTAAAAATAAGTTCAGTTTTTGTCGAGTGACGGTAGAAAAAGTTACAAATATCTAAGCATGTTAGGGTAAGTATACTTCTAAATAATTTTTTTATCATGTTGGAATTTGTTACTTTTTTTCTACTTCTATGTTGAAAAATTACTTATTTTGAAAAAAAACGTAGGATTAATTACTTCCAAAATAATTTTTAGCTCTAATCTATGTTTTCTGCGTTCGACAACGCCTTCTCTTTTTTTCTTGTGCAGGTGTCTAATTGGTTCATCAATGCAAGGGTAAGGCTATGGAAACCCATGGTGGAGGAAATGTATATAGAAGAACTAAAAGATCAAGAGGGCATGGAATTCTTGGATGGTTCAGCCGATATTCTTGATGAAAATGATGGCCAACAGAATCAAAACCCTCCGCCCGAGGTGGTGCATTTGGAACTAGATCAAAAGCCAAGCAGTTACAAACTAGTTAGGTCAGATTCAGAGTCTCTTTCTCCAGCTGAGCACTACCTCCACCAGCATGGTTTTGGTAGAGTAGCAGACTCTTATGGTGGTTCCATGCAATTGGATTTCTCAGCATATAATCATGATAATTCAGTCTCGTATACCAGTGAAAATACCGGTCATGGTCATGGTCATGGTCGAGGTGGAGGTCGAGGAAGCCAAATCAGCGGTGGTGGTGTATCTTTGACACTGGATTTACAGCACCAAGGTGCAAATTATGGAGAGAATTCATTTTTCTACCCTAGAGACCACATGGAAAATTGCCCACAAGTTGAAATCTCGTTATTGGACAGTGAAAACCAGAATTTTCCTCGTCGGAATTTGGTGGGTGCAGAATTGCTGCATGATCATTTGACATGGCTAATGTCCAAAACAAACGAATGATCAAATCCTAGGAAATTTATAAGTTGTCGGTAACTAAAAGTTTGCTAGAATCGTTAAGAAAATTAAAAGATAGTGGGCATGCATAAAATACTGAGTAGAGAAACATCTGTCTAGAATTTGGATTTGATACATTTGCTTCACAGTCTTCTTAATGAAATGATTTCATGCAACATTGGCAAATCAATTGCAAAGAATTGTTTAATTATATTTTCAAAATGTTATCTCTGACCCATTAGGTTTATTTATATGAAAATTTGATACATGAAGTTGTAGAGTTATTTCAATGTCAATAGCTTACATGTGATTCGACCATTAATTAAAGATCTACATCTACGGACGAGCTCATGTGAAAAATACCATATATGAAAAATGCAAAATTCTTTTCGTCTTTCATAGAGATTCTATAAATTAGGTATATTTAAAAAATATATAATTAACAGTATATATTAAAAATATAGAAATACGTGATCAAATTTATCTCGATTCAATTCAATAAGGTATTAGTATGGAATATCAATTAATGCAAGGTGATACTTCCTCTCTTCTCACTAATCTCTTGATAGCACAAGCTAACTGATAGCAGTATTTTTGGCTCTAAATCAAATCAAAGTTCCAATTTCGTTGAGGCACATAAAGATTTTGTCTTGTTTGTTAATTGACATTGACAATGAAATTTAGTTCAACTAATAAAGTGGTGACTCTTAATGCTATCCTATCGTGATAAAGATGGGCTTTTAAGGGATTGTCACTTGGTACCAGTATTGAAGAATTATGTTGTATAAATCGGTTGAAGGTTGCGGTTTTACGCCATTGGCTGCAACTTAAAACTTATGAGTTCCGCATTATGCTCTTGCTTGACCTCACTTTTAAATTATTTTTTTTTCAAATTCATTTTTTTATCAAACATTTAATGAAATTCAAAATTTTTTAATTACGTATTTCATCAACTTTAATGAAAATTTACTACAAAAAAATAAATAAATTAATTTTTAACAGAACCAAATCAGAAACATACATTTAGGAAAATGTACAAATTACACTCTGCATATACTCTTCACTTATCCTTTTTCTAAATTTTACATTTTATATACTATGTTTTATTAACGGGTAACAAAAACAATTTTTTTTTCTACTAAAAATAGGCTAATTATAATCATAAAGCGTTTTTTTTTTTTGAAAAATAAATTAATACACCATTTTAATTGCTTTAAAGTCATTATATATATATATAAGTGTGACTAAATATTTACATCTCATTTTAAAGCACAGTAACATAATTTTTGGATGAAAGTCTAAGTAAACGTTAAAGACTTTTAATGCAATTAAAATGCGGTGCATTAAAAAATAAATCAATGCACATATAATTAACCTTACTAAAAATAATAAATCATATCCTATATTTTACATCAACGCAACATTATTTATGCATACTATGAAAGCATGTTTGGGAGTTATTTATAATGAGTTTAAATTATAAATAAATAAAAATTTAAGTTTGATAAGTGAATAGTACTTGTCGATCAATGAAATGTGTAAATAAAAAATGATTTAGTTGATTACAAACAAATTATAAACAGCTACCAAAAATACACTTAACTACTTTATCATTTTCAAAATCTTAATTACAAGAAACCATGATTTTTATTTAAAAGATTATTTCCTTTATTTTTTTTGTTATCTTCTTTTTCTTGAACTCTAAATTGAAATAAATGAGAAATTATTTTTAATAAATTAATAATGTATTGAAACATGTATAAATTAACGACTTCATTTAATTTTTAGTTCCAGCATTATGAAATGGACAAAATAAATTTTTTGTGAAAATCTAATCTTCTAATTAATAAGTTGTACTTAATGAATATAAATTTAAAAAATAAAGCAAAATAAATTTTATATTAGTTATTTAAATTTTAAAATTAATTTCTTATTCCCTTTAAGATGAAAGTTAGCATATTTATATCATTTTATAAAGAATTTCCAAAATGCATGCATAATTTTCTTGGATTTTGTTGTGGATAGATTTTCTTTCTCTCACTTTTTTATTTTTGATGAAGGCTGACAGAAGAATGCATGTATAAACATTTTCAATAAAAATACAAAAGTCCTCTATATCCTAATCGAGCAATCTCAACTAGGGCTGGATATGGTCTGATTCAGTTCGATTATAACGAGAACCGAACCGACCCGAAATTTCTGGGTATTCAGTAAATGGAACCGTTGGGCCCAAATTTAATTACGGAACCGTTCGGGTTTGGTTCCATTCGGTTCAGTTCGGTCCGGTTCGATATCATTCGGTTCCGTATTATAATTAAATTTTTTAATATATACAAAGTTACGTTAATTTAATTAATGATATGTTCAATATTAGCTCTTACAGAATAACGTAGTTCAATCTTATGTGTTTCTCGTCTCTCTTTGCTGAATACTTCATAAATTTGATTATTAAAATCACATAAAGAGAAAGATAGCGAGCTCAAAATAATTAAGAGAGATGTTGTAAAGCTTTAATTCGATTTTCTCTAATAGAAATGACACTACAGTAAAATAATAGATTTGGATAAAATTGAGGTCAATTTGATTAAATTGATTTTGAACTAAAAATTAGAAATAGGAAAAATCATATTTTGTGGTTTGAACTAAATTAATTAGTTAACAATTTTATTAAGAAAAAATAAAATAATTTTACTTATTTAAAATAAATTAATTAAAAAAATTAAGAAGATTCGGTTCTTCAGATTTTGGCATAGAACCGAGAATCGAACCATACCCGTCGATTCTTAATTCAAATACCCGTTCGGGTATTTAACTTGAGAAGAATCGTCGGATTCGATTTGAGAGTTTTGTCCAGTCCTATTCTCAACTGCGAATGAGGTGAGCAAAGTTCAAGCGTCTAATATCTTTTTATCCTATTTGACTTGAATCAAGCAATTTAACCTAACTCCAATAGAAAATAATGTAACACTTGGAGTAACTTATTGATTTCAACATCATTGAATTTATGATAGACACTTCAAAAAAAAAAAAAAAAGGTAATGATATTCATCATTATTTATAATGATCACCAATTTATATGACAGTGAATTCATTGATTTATTAAGCAATACATTAAATTAATGTATCACAACTCTATCGTAAGGTAATTCTTTGACTAGTGGACCACAGAGAAATAATGTGGCCAAAAAAGGAAGATCAGAAAATGGCATTAAAGATTAGGGTTTTGTCACTTCGTCAGAAAAATTTAACAGAAGCTTTGACATAATTTGAGGTGACAAAAAATAATTTGATAAGAAAGTTGATAATGTTTAAAACAGTCCAATGACATAATGTCATGTGACATTATGTCAAATTTTATGTGAAAGAATTTGATATTGTAACATGATTGTAAAGATTATTATTTTTATCTCTTACCTAAATTTTCCTCTTTTATTTTGTTGCCTATATGAAAGTTATGTTATATTAAACGATGTGTAGCGTTGAATGGAGATTGATCAACTATCTATCTACATTTTCATGCAATTTACAATATATAAAGGATGGATATATTGACATCACATTATTTTCTTTTACCACCACTTTATAATCACGATCTAATTAAAGTACATTTTCATTAAATACACCATAATATGTTACAAATATAGCCAAAGTCAACATAAAAATACAGAAGAACATAAAGAAGACGATCTAGACATATCTCACCCTCTCTGTGAAACATTGTTTCACCCTACATTTTTTTTTTCAACTTCATAGCCTTGCAATCTATCTCTTGAAACAATTTCTCAAATACATCACCAAGGACATTTGAAGGCAACCCACGTCCTGAAGTTATTATCTTTGTCTCTTAAATGTTTTTGCCTAAAATTTCTGATTTTTTTTTGTTATCCATATGAAAGTAATGCATGGTTTTGAATAGAGAGATCCCAACTATATCAATGAGCACATTTTATAAAGGGGACATATTACTTTATTAATTTTTTTTTATTAAATTGAGATTCACTTTCAAAAAAGTAAATTTAAAAATTATAATTAACAAAATAAATAATTTTAAAAAGTAAGTTAAGTTTACTTTTTCAAGTACAACAAAACGTACTCTCAACCTATCTAACTAATCACGCATTTAATATAAGTGGGAAATCATATGATTTTAATTTGTCTATAGAAAAAAATTCCGTCGCTAAGTTTAAACGCAACAAAATGTTTAAGAAAACAAGGTTTCTTATGCTAAATTAATAACTCAACACTGCATAAAATATTTATACAGAAGATTTAAAACTTATGGCAATTCATTTCAAAATGATAATATTTCTTTTCTAGTTTGAGTGAGATAGTAGTAGCCCATAAAATATTAATGCTGAACTGTTATAGGGTCTTTTTTTTTTTTTTTGTTGTTGCTACTTTTGTCAAATTTCCTTAAAATTGAGTTCAAATTGATTTACAACTTTCAGTATTAGTTTTCAATCTAATGTGTCAGTAGTGAGTTGATCTTTAATTTTTTCAGAGGAGCAAGTTTTCAATCCTCATATATAAAATTTTATGAACCTAAAACTTTGCTTTCTAAATTGGATTATTGAATTTGTATTTAATACAATAATTCATTATTTTAATTTCAAATGCTTGAAACTGATTTGGTCGAATTCAACTGTTTGACCAGTAATTCTTAAAACTTTTTTTGATCAATGCAGGGATCCAAGGGGTCCAAAGGGTCACTTGACCCTCCAGTTTTTTCAAAATTTTAGGGCGGATCCAAGGGGTCCAAAGGGTCACTTGACCCTCCAGTTTTTTCAAAATTTTCCCTTAGTTTTCAGACTTACTATGGAATATCAAACGAAATTGAAATACTACATTCTTAATATCATTTTGAAGTACTCATGGCCTCGTATTTCACATCGTTAATGGTGTGCGAAATGACCAATCATAGCAAATGTTATAACGCGTCAAAGTAGGCCGTTCCAAACTGATATTTCAAGAATTTCGATAACACGCCAATTTTAAAAATTCTTCGACGATTATACGCTAACTGTATCCATAATCTTCTATATCCTCTCGAAACTCATTTCAAAAACTATATCATAAATATATCGAATGATCAAAATGAATATAAAAAATAGTTAAACGTGCGTCAAACGTGTATATCAAAAAGAGACATATAACTCGTCTTTTTTGGAAAAAAATCAATAATTTTATTAATGTTTATTATTTTTGCGCAACGA